AAGGTGCTATGTTGCCTCATAGGCTGCCTAAGCATTGAGCTTGGGGACTTGAAGAGAAGAAGTGTGTGTAAGACATGAAACCTTGAAGGACTTTGTTATGATTTTAGTTAAGTGGAATATTTTTTAAAAGTTTGGACTTTGTGACGTTTATTTTAGGTGTGGATACTTGAAGTGTGATGTTTATTTTAAATTTGGACTTTTAAAGACTTAAACTTTGATTTTTTGTTTTTTTAAGTTTGAACTTTGGAAGACTTGATTAATGATTCTAGTTGAACTTTAAATGTTTATTTTCTTTGTGTTGGAATGCTTATGTAATGATTGTGTTGGAGGTGTTAAAATTTCAGATTTCAATGTTGGAAACATGAATGCTTATGTTGAAGATGTTAAAATTTAGAATTTCAAAACAAACAAAAAAATCCAAAAAAAAAAAAGACGTAACTGAACCGAAACCGAACTAGAAAAAACCGAATTGAAATTAAACCGAACTGAAAAAAATCGAAAAAAATGAACCGAACCGAACCGAATCAAAGTTTTGATTTTGGCAAAAAACCGAACCTAGCCTTATATCTGACCCAGAAAATTTAGGCTTTAACCCAAGAGTTGAAGATGATCCACGTGGACTCAGATTGATTGCGTCACCCAGTCATTGCCCACATGGGGGTTACGTCACTAGTTAACGACTGTTTTAATAGAAAACTTAACAGATGTGTAAAGTGTCACAGAATTATCACTTTAGATACCTGACTGGGATTAAAAAACTTGGATGTATGAAATTATAAAAATCAAGAAAATTTTGGGTAGTAAAGCTTTTTCATTTTTTTAACATTCATTTTCAATTGGGTTTTGTTTTCTTTTTGGTGAACTACATTTTGCATCTGGGAAAAGCTTTTAATTTTCTTAGATCATCTCCAAATGAAATGTCAAATCCTAAATTGAATGCTACGTAATCAAATTTGAAGGTAAGAACAAATTCGTATGTCAATCGGATTGACATATGAGTTTTCATATGTCAAATTTGACATATGAGAAAAGGTGAGGTCAAATCATTTTTAATTATTTTATTGTGTGGGTCTCATTAATGCACCAATTATAGATCTTTGAAATTTATTTTAATTGATTTCTTTTTAAAATGGGTCCTACAAATATCATTTATAACAAAAAAAACATATTGGTTGGAAGTAGAAATCTGATATTATCACGTCAGCCATCAAATTAACATTTGACATTTATCTTTTGACATCTCATTTGAAGATGCTCTTAACATTCATTTTCTATTGTTTTTTTTTTCTATTGGCTATTTATATTTTGCACCCTCTATGCTTTGCGTGATTTTCAAAATGGGCCATCAAATTTTAATTTGTTACATTGCACCCTAATATTTTGAAATTGTATCAATTTACACATTTTGTATAATGAATTAATTAAATCTCCATTAATTTGATGACATGGTGAGCATAAAGTCCGTAACTGGATTGACATGTAAGCCACATTTGCAACATATTATTCTATACTAAAACTCGGTGGATAACTATTGTTCACTAACAGTTAGGTCTGGCAAACGGGTCATGTCTGTTGTGTTCGTGTAACACCAGCTATATTAACGGGTTGTATTGTGTCACACATATTATCTTAACGAGTCCTTAACAGGTCGGGTCACTTTAGCCAACGGATAAAGTGACCCGACTCGTTATGACCCGTTAAGAAAAATATTTTTTTTTTCTTAAATTTGCACATACCACACATTGCCACATGGTAAAGTGACCCGACCCGTTATGACCCGTTAAGAAAAATATTTTTTTTTCTTAAATTTGCACATACCACACATTACCACATAAATATTACTTGAAAACATTAAAACACATTTTTCGTTTAAGTATTACATCTACACTCGAAAATAAGAGCCTAATAAACAAACATACATACACTACGAGTATATTACAAAATATTAAATGTGCAAGGATATGCAAATTGAAAGGGTTTTTGTTTTCAAGGTTGTGAAGCATTTCTCAAAAGTTTAAATATTGCCAATGGAACTCAAAGCTTGCATATTATTCCTTTTACAAAATCCTCAATTTTCATCGATCATCATGACATAAGATTTTGTGGTATCCACTAGTGTGAATATTTTAAATTGAAGATCGAATTCATTCATTGTATTAATATAAGGTCAAGGAGTGTAGCTGTAAAAAAATCATCAAAATCGGAGTTAAAATAACTGTTAAATCGTGATTTTTTCTTGATAATCGTCTAAAAGTTTTGTCCCGTTACTTGATCTTTTAATTTTTTTTTTTTTTTTTTTTTTTTGCGATTTTTGGTGTATGCGATCTTGAAGCTTATACAAACAAGTTTGACGGTTAGATTGTTGAAATTAGTTTCGTAAAATGCGTATCCCATCAAAACGATAGATTTACTAACACTTAGAGTTTATTTATACTTTCATCAAGTATAACATAAGATTTTTTGGTATCCACTAGTGTAAATATTTTAAATTGAAAATCGAATTCATTCATTGTATTCATATAGGGTCAAAGAGTGTAACTGTAAAAAATAATCAAAATCAGAGTTAAAATAAATGTTAAATCGTGATTTTTTGTTGATAATCGTCGAAAATTTTTGTCCCATTACTTGATCTCTGAATGTTTATTTTTTGCAATTTTTGGCATATGCGATCTTGAAGTATATACAAACATGTTTGACGATTGGATCGTTGAAATTAGTTTCGTATAATGCATATCCCATCGAAACAATAGATTCACTAACACTTAAGAGTTTATTCATACTTTCATTAAATATAACATAAGATTTTGTGGTCTCCACTAGTGTAAATATTTTAAATTAAAGATCGAGTTCATTCATTGTATTCATATAGGGTCAAGAAGTGTAGCTGTAAAAAATCATCAAAATTGGAGTTAAAATAACTGTTAAATCGTGATTTTTCATGGATAACCGTCAAAATTTTTTGTCCAATTACTTGATCTTTGAATGTTTGTTTTTTGCAATTTTTAGTGTATATGATCTCGAAGCATATACAAACAAATTTGATGATTGGATCGTTGAAATTAGTTTCGTAGAATGCGTATCCCATCAAAACGATAGATTCACTAACACTTAAGAGTTTATTCATATTTTCATTAAATATAACATAAGATTTTGTGGTATCCACTAGTGTAAATATTTTAAATTGAAGATCGAGTTCATTCATTGTATTCATATAGGGTCAAGGAGTGTAACTGTAAAAAAAACCATCAAAATCAGAATTAAAATAACCGTTAAATCGTGATTTTTCGTTGATAACCGTTGAAAAGTTTTGTCTTGTTACTTGATCTCTGAATGTTTGTTTTTTGCAATTTTTGGCGTATGCAATCTCGAAGTATATACAAACATGTTTGACGGTTGGATCGTTGAAACTAGTTTCGTAGAATATGAATCCCATCAAAACAATAGATTCACTAACACTTAAGAGTTTATTCATATTTTCATTAAGTATAACGTAAGATTTTGTGGTATCCACTAGTGTAAATATTTTAAATTGAAGATCGAGTTCATTCATTGTATTCATATAGGGTCAAGGAGTGTAGCTGTAAAAAAACATTAAAATCGGAGTTAAAATAACCGTTAAATCGTGATTTTTCGTTGATAACCATAAAAAAAGTTTTGTCCCATTACTTGATCTTTGAATGTTTATTTTTTGTAATTTTTGGCGTATAAGATCTTGAAGCATATACAAACAAGTTTGAAGGTTGGATCGTTGAAATTAGTTTCGTAGAATGCGTATCCCATCAAAACGATAGATTTACTAACACTTAGAGTTTATTTATACTTTCATTAATTATAACATAAGATTTTGTGGTATCCACCAGTGTAAATATTTTAAATTGAAGATCGAATTCATTCATTGTATTCATATATGGTCAAGGAGTGTAGCTGTAAAAAATCATCAAAATATGAGTTAAAATAATAGTTAAATTGTGATTTTTCGTTTATAACCGTCGAAAAGTTTTGTCTCATTACTTGATCTTTGAATGTTTGTGTTTTTGCAATTTTTGGCATATGCGATCTCGAAGTATATACAAACATGTTTGAAGGTTGGATTGTTGAAACTAGTTTCATAGAATGCGTATCCCATCAAAACAATAGATTCACAAACACTTAAGAGTTTATTCATACTTTCATTAAGTATAAAATAAGATTTTGTGGTATCTACTAGTGTAAATATTTTAAATTGAAGATCGAATGCATTCATTGTATTCATATAGAGTCAAGGAGTGTAGCTGTAAAAAATCATCAAAATCGGAGTTAAAATAACCGTTAAATCGTGATTTTTCGTTGATAACCGTAAAAAAGTTTTGTCCTGTTACTTGATCTTTGAGTTTGTTTTTTGCGATTTTTTGCTGATGCGATCTCGAAGCATATACAAACAAGTTTGACCGTTGGATCGTTGAAATTAGTTTCGTAGAATTCGTATCCCATCAAGTTTAATGATATATATATTTATTAAGTAGATTTAAATTTATTTATTTTGTACGTATAACACTTAAGAAATTGAATAGTAGTATATTTAAGCCGATCCAATGGTTACCAATTTTTAATATTTAATTTTATATATATATATATAATTATTATAGTTTTTAGGGTTATAAAATTGTTAAATTAATATATATAACTATTATAGTATTTTTTTTAGGGTTATAAAATTATAAAATTAATATTTTGCTTATTGTGTATCGTGCATTGTATACCCAAACCAACCTGTAATCTTAACAGGTGTTTATCAGGTTACCCGATAACGACCCAATTTGTTATCGTGTTAATCCAAATATTTGTTAATTTCGTATCATGTCAAATTATCGAATCGTGTCAGAAATTGCTAGCCTTACTAAGACTGCCCACCCGGTTTTGCCCCTCATTCTCTTCATGTCTTTTAGGCTTTAGAGGGGTTGTATGGTGAATTGGCCACTTTGCCCCTATCTCATTTTTTGTCCCGTGCGTTTTGTGTGGGGAGATGCTTACAGCATCTTTCATTTTTTCATTTTTCACTTCCCTCTTCTTTCCTTCTCTCTGTCTTTCCGTTTTCTCTATTTCTCCATTTGTCTTTCGGTTTCGATTCCGATCGGATCGTGTGGAACGGTGTTTGGCCTGTTTTTCTCGCTGTTTTCCACGAACGAATCGCTCTGGTTCAGGTGTTTTTGTTCATGCGTTGCTTTATTTTCTGTTTGGTTAGGAAGAAATTTTTTTAATTGATTGTTTTAAAGTTCGGCTCTTCACCTATTTTGCTCAGCGTTTTCTTTATTTCTTCGTGTTTTACATCTGGTTCTTTCGTTTGATTTCGTTTTTTTGGTTGCAGGAAATATTCGTCTTCGAATTTTAGGGTTTATTCTGCGAGCTTGCAAGCCCTTTTTGGGTCAGGAATATAATTTATCTCTTTGCTGTTAAATTTGTTTTTTATTTGGGTTTTTTGATTGTTTGTGGTTCAATTTTTCCCTGAAAATTTAAAAAGAGAGGAATGGTCATGATTAATTTTTTGGTTTTGCCTTGGATGTTTCCGTTTTTGCTGTGGATGAACAATTATTATTATTATTATTATTTGTGTTTTAATTAAAAGGCCAAAGTTTTGTCAAGATGATATATGGATGGACATGATTACCTTTTGGGTTTACTTTGCCTATTTCAGTTAGGATGATTTAGTACTCTACACTTCCTTGAACAGGTATGATCACGTTAAATATTGATGAGCTACGGTTGGTATTGCATAACCGAGTCATATTGCTCCGATGCTATTTTAATTTATCTACTATATCACTGGCACGAAAGTTCACTCAGGTTTCATCTTTGGGTCATATTTCTCATGTCGCTTCATTTGCAGGTTGATAATTATATTGGCAAAAATCATCTCTTCAAGCGGAGTATTATTCTGATAAAAGCCTGGTGCTACTATGAGAGTCGTATTCTCGGGGCCCATTATGGGTTGATTTCAACGTATGTTTTGGAAATGTTAATCCTATATGTTTTCCATTTTTTCCATTCGTCACTGGATGGCCCTCTGGCAGTGAGTATTCCCAAGTCAATTTTGAATCATTCTTTCAGATACATATATAAGTTTTAGAACTTAATTACTTTTCATTTCTATAGGTCCTTTATAGATTTTTGGATTACTTAAGCAAATTTGACTGGGAGAACTATTGTATAAGTTTAAATGGACCAGTATGCAAATCATCCTTGCCTGATATAGTGGGTAAGAGATATTATTGTGTGCTTTTGATGTTGGATGGCTTATTTGTGTTTTCTTGCTCTCTCTCTCTCTCTCTCTTTCTCTGACTCACTCACTGAAACTGCAGCTAAGGCACCCGAAAACGGGAGAGATGATCTACTGCTGAGTGAAGAATTTATTCGAAATTGTGTGGAAATGTTCTCTGTTCCAGCAAAGGGGTATGAGACAAACTTGCGAGCTTTTTCCCTGAAGCATCTTAATTTAATAAATCCACTGAAGCAGGACAACAACCTTGGGCGAAGTGTCAGCAGAAGTATGCATTCTCCCTAAAGTCTATTGTCCACTTTAATAATCGTTCGTTGTTTGCCTTTTTGCACAGATTGATTGTCGTGTTTTTGAAAATTTCAGCTGTTTAAGGTAAGCAATTTAAATTTTTTAATTATTGAGTTTTAAATTTTAGGCTCTTTTATAGTATATGTGATATATATTTGCTTAGTCTTCGTATTCTGTGTTTCTTAATGCTTCTTTTTCTCATTTTTGGTTTTTGTCCAGTGTGGTTTGCCCTAATTTGTTTTGAAACTGGTGTTACAATTTGTTTCTGTCATGTCAAAAAGATCTGCAAGTGCTTTAACAAGTAATGAATGTATTTTGGGTTATTCTTCTTTTCATAGGCTCGAAATACAGTGCTTATTTTGTGGTTGACAATTTTCCTAAAGGTATTAAGATATCCTCTTTTGCCAAATTTTCCTTCCTTTTTGGTTAATGGTGGGAACAATACAAGAAAAAAAAAACTGCATGTTTCAAAGGAAAAAACACACCAGTGTACACTTGGAAATAGCTGGAGGTATTGGCAAACCTCACTTTGTGTATACATGCTTTACAGTTCATGGAAAACCACAACTCCTAAAAATGATAGTAGCAAATATGATGTATTGGAACTAATATTTTAGTAACATGTTTCTTACGATGTTGGTTGTGCCAGGATGAGTAGTTTACACTTGGGTGGGTTGATGGTTGTACGCACATTACATTTGTGTTACGATACTTAAAAATAACATCTTATTTCGTGGATGAAATTTATTTCTACTCTTCGTTTAAGCATTGAAGCCGATGCAATCTTAACATCTTGATAGACTAGAAGTACATATATGTTTTGTTTTCTGCACACTTCTGTGTAACTTCTTCTTGAATGTTAGTGTGGTTAATTTCTCATTGCTTTCTTGCAGGTTACTACATATGGCTTATATGAAGTAAGAGTTTTTGGTGATGGGAGTTATCAGGTGTCTGCAATAATAAGAATGCAAAGTAATAGGTTTGTCATCTTTTGATTTATATTAATTTCTTATTGTTTCATAGATTAATAATTATGTGACCTGAGTATATTTTATTGTGTTAATGTGTAGCAAAATAGAGCGAGAGTGAAAAATGAATGAGGGTAAGATTTTCAAGCTATCCAAGGGCTTTAGTATAACAAAATGTCCCGACATTTTAAACTTTTTTCCTATTTACCTTTAAATTTTTTTAGCCTCTCAAATTCATTTTCTGCATTAGTTTTAAATTTTCAATTTAATTCTCATTAGTTTGATTCCAATTCAATAAATTTGTGTAACATACAGTTTTCTAGAGAAAAAGAATTGACCTTTGAATAGAAGCTGTAGTCTTGCTTGACATTACTAGACTAGCAGGTAAAAAACCTACGATGCATGGACACGGGGAAAAGCCAGCATATCCCGTATTTGACACGCAGGGATACGGATACGCACATGATACGCATGGATACGGGCCCGATACGTATCCGAACGAATGGATACGTTTATTGATGAGATACGCGTATCATACTATCGAGATATGCGTATCATACTTTTTGCATACGTTTCAAACTAAATCAGAGGATAATTAGAGAAAAATAATCCAATAAATCCGCACAGAATCATGATTGATTCAAATTAGCTAAACTGAAACGATTGTTTGACTAAAAACCAAAACGATTTCGAACCTCAAAAATCAAACTTGTCGTCTGCAACAGCTTCGTTTGTCTGTTGTCTCTATCATCTCCGTCTGCCACTGCTCCGTCATCTCCATCGTCTCCATCTGCACCTGTTGGTGAGAGCTTTCGACTTCGTTTTCGCTTTGTTAATTTTGAAGCTCAATCTGATTCCCAGAACCCATCTCTGAAACTGAAAGGAGGCTTGCTTTTCCGTTTTGAACTTCGAAGCTAAAATATTCTTTTGCCTTGACTGATTCAATGACTTTTAGCTCATCTGTTGTGTTATGTAAATTGGAAAAACTTAAAGCCCCTTTTGCTTTTTGTATATAATATTATTATTATATTTTGTATGCTTATTTTCACTTATCTTTCTGTTTTGAGTTTATTGAAATAAATTTAAGTTTGGGTAATAAATTTGAATGCTTATTTTATAATATTTTAGATATATTTATTTATATATGTTTTTATTTGCCGTATCCTTGATGTATCGTGTCTTCGTTTTTAGAACTTTGACGTGTCTCTGTGTCGTATCGTATCGTATCTCCGTATCTGTGCCCGTGTCCATGCATCCTAGTAAAAAACTCAACCTTTTCCTATCTCTAAATGTTGATTCCTCTCTATTCAACTTAGAGTAATTACTTTTTGTTTTCAAGCCTTGAATGTTATAAACCGTTACATTTTTTAAACTGTTAAGTTGATGATTACATCGATCCATTTCTTCAAAAATTTAAATTATCAGATGATGTCTCATGATATCGACTCCCCGTACAAGGGCATTATGAATCCAGCCAAGTGTAACCTTCTCATTCCCTTTTTTCAACATTTAGAATATAATTTTTTTTTATCATGCATATTACCGATCTTCATTCTTGATTTGATTCGTTTAGTATTAAAGCTGATGCAACGATTATTATCTCATTGTACCACTGTAGCTACTACCACAGTTGTCACAATTGCAGAAATTCCCAAAAACAATAAGATTTGCTATTGAGAAAAGTAAGACATCTATTTTTATTTTCCACCTTTTAAAATGAAACAATCAAATTATAAAGTTTACTTATATTCTACAAGTTGAATGCAAAAGTCATAACATCAAATGTTAACATAAAAGATGACTTCTGGCGAGAGACCAGTCCAAAAGGCCAAGGTATGCCATTGTGATACTCTAATATCAAATAGATAGTCATTTATCTCAATATACAACATGAGTTCCAACTCATTCTAAAATGTCTGTTTACATTTCTTTAAAAAAATAAAAAAATAAGTAAAATGTTATTAGTGAAAGGATGTGATTTAGAGTAGACATCATTTTCATTCTACCAATAGAGTTATCATTTCATGTCTACGTTTGCATTCTTTACAGTATAAATTTCTTCATTTCTTCATGTCTAAATTCATTGAATTTTTTTTCTCTTTTGCCTAGGCTGAGAGAACTTATTAGGATGAGAAAAAGAAAGGTACAGAGTTTTAAATATTTTTTTTTTTTTTTAAAGATTGTTGCCATTATAATCTATAATTTCTCTTTCATTCTATTTACAGATTTGTTTGAAAACTTGCGGAAGAAACAATGAGGCGGTTGAAGTGCAGAATGAAGGTTTACATTAATGCTGCTAGGCTAGATCACTCGGTGAAATTTTCATCTCGAGGTGTGTGTATATATGTTTGTGACCCTTGTATACTTGGGACAGAATTTGAGTTTTAGCATTACAACTATTTGTCCATAGACACATGATGCAGATTGGGCATGAATGTCACATTTAAATTGGCATGAGTTAAGGTGCAAAATGAAAATTTACAGCCGCTATAGAATTTCTAGGATCTTACCAAAACAAAAAGGGTTGTCCATGCAATCTAAGAATGAAAATTTCAGCTGCGATAGAATTTCTTGGATCTTACCAAACAGTTTCTGGGATTTGAATCTTTTCCATTTTTAGCTTATCCTTGAATAAGGAATTTTGATGAATTTATATTTACCACTCAGTTTTTTGGTGTTTTCAGGCGATTGGAGCTGAATATGGATAAGTTTTTGAGACTTTTAGACTTTTTGGACCTCTCAAGATTGATGTGGTAAGGAGTTTATAGAGTTACACATATAGTAGTCGAATTGTTCTCTATGTTGTGTTGAATCTAATTTACTGGTAATACTTTCTGCTTGGTATTTACTATGCACGTGCATATTCATGTTATACTAAATGAAAACATACACAAGTTTTCTTCTTTTCATTGTTAATCTACTGATGCTAAGGATAATTTGAGCTTTTACACTTTTCATATTTAACTTGCAGGATCAGTATCACAGTACACATTTCCACGATTCTGTGTTCTGTCTTTCTCCCTTTTGTGTAATTTTAGTCCATTGAACTACTCTTTTTAACTTAAGATTGAATTGAAGTGCTAAGAACTTGGTTAAATGAAAGTTTACTTTGGTTTGATGACATTTAGGTATTCGGTGTTGAGTGCAAGATTATTAGGTCCACAATCATTGGATGCATGGTCTTTCATGTGTTTTTACCATAATATATCATAATCGAAAAACTCATCAATTTCAGGCCATCTCCGACATCTCCGTCACCTTTTAGGCTATTTTTCGACCATCTCCGTCAACCATTGGGCTTCCAAATAGGTATAATTTTGTTCTAAACTTTCATATCTTCATTTTAATATATTATGTGTCAAATTTGGTTAAGAAACGATTGAGTTACAAAGCTTTGAAAATTGCCTAATCTTCCGGCCAAAAGCTTTGGGACATTTAATAGAGTTTGTAACGGAATGATCAAAATAATGGTTGGTGGACAATCTCAAGGACCATTTTGACTTAAAAAACCTTATTTAAATTAGATGTTATGTTGCATACTTGCATTACATCATGTTCTTTTTTTTTTTATTTGTATGTAGAAATGGCAAGTGGAAGTTCAACGAAAGGTACTATGTTGCCTCATAGGCCGCCTAAGCGTTGAGCTTGAGGGCTTGAAGAGAAAAGTGCGTGTAAGACATGAAACCTTGAAGGACTTTGTTATGATTTTAGTTAAGTGGAATATTTTTTTAAAGTTTGAACTTTGTTATGTTTATTTTAGGTGTGGATATTTGAAATGTGATGTTTATTTTAAATTTGGACTTTTGAAGACTTAAACTTTGAAATTTTTTTTTCAAATATTTTTTTTTTTTTTTTAAGTTTGGACTTTGGAAGACTTGATTGATGATTCTAGTTGAACTTTAAATGTTTATTTTCTTTGTGCTGGAATGCTTATGTTATGATTATGTTGGAGATGTTAAAATTTCAAATTTCAATGTTGGAAATTTGGAATGCTTATTTTATGATTATGTTGGAGATGTTAAAATTTCAATTTTCGGAAACAAAAAAAATTTGAAAAAAAAAAAAAGACATGATGGAACAAGAAAAAACCAAATTGAAATTAAACTGAACGAAAAAAAAATGAACCGAACTGAACCAAATCGCAACAGTTTCGGTTTTGGCAAAAAACCAAGCCATTTTTAATTGAACCTAGCCCTATGTTTGATCTAGAAAATTTAGGTTTTAATTCAAAAGTTAAAGATGATCTTATCCTTTATTCTTCCTTTTGCTTTTAAATTTTTTTTTTTTAATTTCGAAATTTTTTTACTTTTGAAATTAAATTTTTTTTTTCAATATCCACGCGGATTCAGATTAACTACGGCGTCTAGTCATTGTCCACATAGAGGTTACGTCACAAGTTGAAGAAAACTTAACGGATGTATGAAAGTGTTCCAGAATTATCACTTTAGTTACCTGATTGGGATTAAAAAACTTGATGTATGAAATTATAAAAACCAAGAAAATTCTGGGTAGTAAAGCTTTTTCAGTTTTTTTAACATTCCTTTTCAATTGGGTTTTGTTTTCTTTTTGGTGAACTACATTTTGCATCTGGGAAAAGCTTTTCATTTTCTATTGGTGTTTTTTTTTCTATTGGCTATTTATATTTTGCACCCTCTATGTTTTGCGTGATTTTCAAAATGGGTCATCAGATTTTAATTTGTCACATTGCACCCTAATATTTTGAAATTGTATCAATTTACTCATTTTGTGTAATGAATTAACTAAATCTTCATTAATTTGATGACATGGTGAGTATTAAATCCGTAACTAGATTGACATGTAAGCCACATTTGTAACATAAAACCTAAAAACTCATCAATTTATTGTATAATAGACATTTAATGTTACAAAAAGTGTAAATTGATATAGTTCCAAAACTTAAACAATTTGAAAAAATTAAAATTTAATGACCTAATTTAAATATCATCTTAAACCTTGAGAGCATAATATATAGTTAGGGCAAAAAAAATAAAAATAAAAATTAGTATCTGGTCCCTAATTACTAATGTTCATTAACTGAAACTTTATTAGTTTTCAGATCTTGATCCAAGTCCGTAGCATTAATGTAATCATGAATTTACATATCAGTTACATAATTTTTTTAAATAAAAATTAATAATAGATTTATAATTTTAATACGCAAACCTTTATTAAACTCCTAACTAATTTTCAATTCAAAACATTCCAAAATACATAAAAAATTAGAATAAGTTTGTACCCATAAGCTGTTGAGAAAGGTACCATTCTCTTCGTGTCATCGAGAAGTATGCTTTTCGTTTTTGAATCACTCGATTTCATTGAGTATTGAAAAAGTAGTTTCCAGCGAGTTTCCAGTTTTCCCACGGACCAGTCATCTTTCAAGCTATTTTTCGGCCATCTTCGGCAACCCTTGGGCTTTCAAATAGGTATAATCTTGTTCTACACTTTCTTATCGCCATTTTGGTATATTATGGGTCGAATTTGTTAAGATCCACCACCAAAAAGAAAAGTAAAAGAATAACAATTGCAGCCCAAATGCAACCCAAAGAAAAAGTCACAGAGCGAGGTTGTCGAAAATTACTTTCTTCAAGATTGTCCAGTAGCCATCTCCAATAACCAAGCTGGTCTTGAGATTAGCCTCATTTTGTATAAATTGATCTCGCTGTGGGAGCAATTCATTGAGTTCTGCCTGGTTCCGTTCAGTCTCTTTGACGGCGCCACCAACTTCAGCACATATTACAGCCTGCTTGGCTACAATCTGCTTTCTCTCATTCTCAAGTCTTTGATAGTCTCTCATCTTGCTATCACAAAACTGAACCTTAATTTCAAGAAGCTTTCTCATATCTTCGACTTGGGCATTCAATTTTTTGCCCTTATCATACTCGGAATAGTCTCAAATAGGTTGCTCTAGCTGCTCCAATATTGCAAAATGCTTGTTTTGCCGCTGTCAGAGGGAAACCAACTAGAAACTACGAGTCTCTTAATGTGTGAAATCATGTCAGTTTGTTTAACACTGCCAACCATAGTAGCAAAGTCCATTTCTAGAAAAGTTCTGACTGTTTCTATGGCTTGCGAGTCTGTGGCAGGAGTAGAAATAGAGGAGCTGGCCAGTGTATTGGGTGCAAACCCTCGGCCTAAAAGTTCAAGGAGGCTTTTATAGGAGTCCCAAACTGCAACTTTTGAAAACTCATGACTCTACAATAGAAAGACGTTGGAGAAAACTATTAAGGCCTCGTTAAGCTAGTGTCAAGGACTGGAATGGAATAGAAGATAGTTTAGTTTTGAAGTAAATTTATTCCTCCAAATTCTTCTATTTTCTAATCCATGTTTTACCTTCAAATTTGACAAGACCTAAGGGACGTCGAATTAAAAAAAGTTGTGTACGTACCTTTCTTGACCCAAAATCATTTTGAACGACAGCCTTGCTTTTGCCATTTTCTGGCTCAATAGAGGTAGGCTCGAGTTCCTGCTCTTGATTCTATGTTCAAACAGATTTGTTAACAAAAAGGTTCAAATAAAGACAGATCAAAAGATTTAAAAAATAAAAAAAACATACGCGCACACACTACAAATCAAAGATGAAATAGTGTTTACCTCAAAATCTTGGTTGGCATCTGAGGTTGGTCTTGATTGCAGCATGGCTGGAGTGCTAGACTCAGGAGCAGCAGTTATGTTGGTTGCAGCAGAAGTAGCAATTGACTTTTGAGCCACCAAAACAAAATATTGTTAGAAGTTTAGAAATGAAGGAAGACAATAGTAAGAGAAGGAATTTGAGTCGCATTCTGTAACGAGAAACAGGGAATGTTAGTTTTGGAACATGAAATAATTGGGGTTTCATCCACGAGTGACTTTGGGTGGCTGAGTCTACCTTCTGGCCACAGGTGACTTTGAGTCGCTTCCGCGATTGGTTTGTATTGTTTCCCTCTTCCTCTTCATCTACTCCTTCCATGGTTGCAAGGGGTGTGGCCTTGGAGTTAGTGGAATCTAGAAATAAGTCATCACCCTCAGCTAAGAAACTGTTTAGAGACTGCCTTTAGGAATCAAGTGCATGAATGAGAAAAAATCAACGCAGTTTTTGTAATGTTGCAACTTGAGAATTTACCGCATTGCCTTTTTCCAAGAGATGAATGACTTGGCTGCACCGCAGCACTCGAGTTGGTGCAGGCTGCATCAGAATAATAATGGATTAAACTTTGTGAGCATAGGGAAAAAAAAGTACAAAACAAAAGAAAAAAATTATCGTGCCATTGTCCACAATCTTAACCCAGATTCCAGTGTCTTCCTCTTCGTGCAAATATGAAACAGATTCTTCAGTTTTTTGTTGTTGACCAATTCAACAAATAGCAGCTATTTAATGAATTCATGTATTGACAAAGACGATATAGAGTTAAAAGATACACTGGAACAAGTTGCTGAAAATAAGACAAAGGATCACATTGCACGTACCAGGTAACCCAGTACATGAATTCTCGGGGATTCCCCCATCACTAGGGTCTACACATTATAGAATGTCAAGTGAAATAATGAACAACTCCAGAGAAATATGGAAGGCAAAGCTGGCAAAGGAATAACAAAGGGAAACAACCAACAAGTTTTGTTAAACAAATCACCAAAATCTTGAAATTTTTTGGAAAAACACAGACAATGTACAACAAAAACGTGAAGAAACAGCTTCCTCAACCTCTCTTTCTTTGCAATCTGATTCAACAAACAGTAACTATTTGAACGAATTCATGTGTTGACAAAGACGATATGGATTTTTAAAAGGAAACAAGTTTTACTTAAAAGTATCAAGGAAAACTCAAGAGGCGATCTGATGGTGGCTGGGCGAATCCGTAATTCATGGAAGCAAAAGATATGTGTACACGAGTTGTAGTAAACATAATTCTTATCTCAAGTCATCTAGGGGTCATCGAGTGGTGAAAAACCCTTAAAACAAAGCGCAAATGTGCTCCACATGATGTGCTTTGACTGAGTTTTTTACAAAACTAACAGAGGTAGTACATTCACACTAAAGGAACAAACAAGTTTAGTTTACCAAATCACCAAAATGATTATAAAAGAAAAGTAGTACTGGATGAAACAGGTACTTGTCAAGTACCTGTTCATCATCTCCAAAGTTTGATGAATTTGGGCTACACAAACTATGGAAAGAGGTTTCAGTGTCTTCCTCTCCGTGCAAATATGAAACAGCTTTTCAGTCTTTTTTTTATGGACCAATTCAACAAATAATAGCTATTTAATGAACTCATGTATTGACAAAGACAATATAGATTCAAAAGATACACTGGAACAAGTTACATGAATAAACAAAGGATCACATTCCACATACCAATAAATAAATTCTCGAACCAATTATCTGCACATTATAGAATGTCAGGTTAAATAATGAAAAACTCTAGAGAAATATGGAAGGCACAGCTGCCAAATGAATAACAAAGGGAAACAACCAACAAGTTTTGTTTAACAAATCACCATAACCTTGAAAATCTAGAAAGTTTATCGCATCTGTAGCTTGTGAATGCTGGAAATTACTTGAATTGGAAATAGAAGAAGCAATCTCATATCCAGGAACATAGAGTACCCCATGACTTGCTAGGTGATTAGATGCTGCAACATTTATTGTGTTAAGCGAAGACGACAACAATAAAAGAAATACATAGAAGATAAACACGGAGAACAAATAATACAAAAAAAAAAAAAAAATCACTGAAATATTTGTAAAAGATTAGGAACTCGTTAGAGAAAGATTTTGACAATGTAAAACAAACAACTGATATGGTGGTTTTGAGTTCTGATGTTTGAGCACTATTCAAGTTTGTCACATTCGTAGCTTGTGGATGCTGGAAATTAGTTGGATTGGAACTAGAAGAAGCAATATCATGTTGCAATCCAAGAACAGGGGGAAACCCAGAACTTGCTTGGTGATTATATGCTGCAACATTTATTGTGTTAAGCGAAGACGACAACAGTAGAAGAAATATATAGAAGATAAACATGGACAACAAATAATACAAAAAAAAAAAAAAAAAAAAAATCACCGAAATATTTGTAAAAGAAAAGGTACTCGTGACAAATTTCGGGGAAAGATTTTGACGATGTAAAACAAGCACCTGAAACAGTGTTTTCGGGCTCTGATGTCTGAGTACTATTCAAGTTTGTCGCATATGTAGCTTGTGAATGCTGGAAATTACTTGGATTGGAACTGACAGTGTGAGGCATAACCTTTATATCCCGATAGTGGATAAGAACCATATTTGAGAGATTCCTACAGCAGTGAAATATTAGGGTTTAGAGGAGAGATTACTGCATTAAGGCCGAAAAAGAGAATAAATTCTTTTAGAAACTTACTTATCAACCAACCAGTAAATGCGTCGTTGAAAATCATTATCATCTTCTCTATGAGCATAGTAGCAGTGCACTACATCAACACCTTCAACCTGACAGAGATGTACAATAATAGTTCAATGAGTTTAATTAGGAAAATAAGGAATTTTCAACATGATTATTTTCTTCCCACAAATGCAACACATCAAAATTATACCATGCCATTGCTCCATATCAATTTTGTACCAAAATTCTTCCAACTATACTACATCAAATTACAGATGGCGATATCCAACATGCCAATTTGTTCCACAAAATAAATCAACATCTACAAGATTAACTGATTAAGTTACATAACTATAGTTGTATGGTTAAGTGTCATGCTTAATACATCATATTTCTTATAACATCAACCTTGGCGTATGCTTACCTTGAGCTTCTCATGGGCTTCCTTAACAATCTTTCCATCTTTTGTCTTCTTCCATTCATAGCCATCTTTTCTAAAATGCCTCTGCACGTTCTTATCAAAAAAAAAAAAGGATCCACCTAAAACAATTCATGTGTGTCAAGCAAATGTAGGTTTCATATGTTTCCAAATAAAGTAATTCAATGTTCACATGCATCCCAAAATAATTAATAAAAATGAAGTCTTAACATCCAATGCAAATGTCGATTCTTATATTCTTGAAAGCCAATAATACTATATCCCAATTAATTTCTTATAAATAAAAAAGGGTTCTATTATTGGCACTCCAAAAATCTCATTGTGCACTCCTCACAAATGAGAATTTTAGAGCGCCAACATCAATTCGCATAAAAAATAGCCTGATTAATTTTATAAAGAAAAGAAAAACCCACAAATCTCATGTGAGAGGGCAATCCAAAAGAAAATGATCTACCAACTCGACCGATACTTTACATAAACACCGGTTGACATAAACTTTCCTCTTATCCAAATGACCAACAGTTCAAAACTTATCAAGGGAATTTTCAATACACATCCAAATAAATCTTCTAAGAATGATGCAAAAAGAAAAATCAAATTCTTAAAATGCTAAAGAAAATTCGAGTTAAATAAGCCAATACAATATTTCTTAACAAATGCAGTACAGCAGAAAGTCATACTTGGTGGCATATATTCAGGCACCTCAGAAATTGTAAATCCGTTAGGATTTCGAAGAACATCACATATTTCCGCCGTAGATAGCCATCGATGATCTTTCCCGTCGAGTCTTGCTTCCATTTCACTTGCTGCATTCAATCATATCATAATCAAAAAATATTCATAATCAATAAATAATAAAATATCTAAGTTGAAAATTTTTATATATTTCACGTGTGTGTATATATATATATATTGACAACTTTCAAGAAAACATAAGAACCACAGATGAACTTGGATTGGATCAACGTACTCATATTGCAATGAATTGCAAAAAGTCAAACATTGTTATCGAACATATCAAACTTACAATGATTGCGATCGCTCTCCGCCATGAAGTCAGC